AGATAACTGACAGGCACATATTTATCTATAGCTTTTTCCTTTTAGTACTAGTATTGTATAATCAAATTAACAATCATTTCTTTTTGCATTTTTTTCATTTGTTCTAATTAGTTATACATGACAGTAGAATGCATTTTGACATATCATACATAAATGGAGTATAATGTGCCGCAGTCTGTCTGGGCACAAAATCACGAGCCACTCACAGCCTTGTAGATTCAAACAGCAATTCTTTATTCCCGAACTCTCACCAGCACTCTACACGCACATTCTGGGGAAAATACACACTTCCACTGGGCTCTGCATCCCAAAATACTCTCTGAATCCCGCGAGAACTCAACAACTCAATGGGAACTCAAGGAGTGGGCAGTCGCCTGAGGCAGCAGGGTACTCCCTATTCCCAGCAGGATACACCCTAAACCTGGACCCACCCTAATCCAGCAGGATCCTCCCTAAACCCAGATCCACCCTGGTCCTTGAGCAGGGTCACCTTTCTAAAACAATCATGCAATGTCACTGCAAATGACCTGGGTCCAAGGCAAGCCCATTTCCACAATGGAGAGTCCTCCCTCTAAGCAACATGGGGTAGGCTGACAAGGAAATTGCCATGTGTCATTTCTACTTAGCTATGGCTCTCAGCAATAATGTCTTATTCTGTTTAAACATGATGTAGAAATACACTAGTTATGTAATTGCTAGAATTATGCTAGTTGTATAATATGCACATAGGGTAATAATGTCTGATTCATTCCACTGTCCTTCCAACCCAAAGACTTCTTCCCATCCCTTCACTCCCCTCTGTCTAATCCAAAGTACATCTATTTTTCCTAACCACTACAACCCCCCTTTTTGTGAATTAGCATCTGCATATCAGAGTAAATATTTAGCCTTTGGTTATTTGGGATTGGCTTATTTTTCTTAGCATGATATTCTCTAATTCCATTTATTTACCAGCAAATGCCATAATTTTATTCTTCTTTAAGAATGAGTAACATTCCATTGTGTATGTATACCACATTTACTTTATCCATTCATCTATTGAAGGGCACCTAGGTAAGTTCCGTAGTTTAGCTATTGTGAATTTAGCTTCTATAAACATTGTTATGGCTGTATCAGTGTAGTATACTTCTTTTAAGTCCTTTGGATATAAACTGAAGAGTAGGATAACTGGAAAAATGATGGTTCCATTCCAAGTTTTCTGAGGAATCTCCATACTGGTTTCCATAGTGTTTGCATCAAGTTGCAGCCCCACCAGCAGTGTACCTTTTCCCCCACATCCTCGCCAACATTTATTGTTGCTTGTATTCTTTACAATTGCCATTCTGACTGGAGTGCGACGAAATCTCAGTGGAGTTTTGATTTGCATTTCTCTAATTGTTAGAGATGTTGAATATTTTTTCATGTATTTGTTGATAAATTGTATTTCTTCCATCTGTTCATATCCTTAGCCCACTTATTGATTGGGTTATTAGTTTATTTGGTGTTAAGTTTTTGAGGTATGTATGTATCTTAGAGATTAATACTCTATCTGAGGTGCATGCAGCAAAGATTTTCTCCCATTCTGTAGGCTTTCTCTTTAGATTATTTATTGTTTCCTATACTGTGAAGAAGCTTTTTGGTTTGATTCCATCTCAATTTTATTGATTCTTAATTTTACTTCTTGCACTTTAGGAGTCTTGTTAAGGAAGTCAGTTCCTAAGACAACATTGTGGAAACTTGGGCCTACTTTTTTCTCTATTAGGCACAGAGTCTCTTGTCTAATTCCTAGGTCATTGATAGACTTTGAGTCGATTTTTTGTGCAGGATGAGAGATAGGGTTTTAACTTCATTTTGCTACATGTGGATTTTTAGTTTTCCCAGCACAATATGTTAAAGAGGCTACCTTTTCTCCAATGAATGTTTTTGGAGATTTTGTATAGTATTAGATTTATGTAGGTATTTATGTGATATGAGTATCTATGTGGGTTTGTCTCTGTGTCTCTATTCTGTACCATTGGTCTATGGGTCTGTTTTGGTGCCAATACCATGCTGTCTTTGTTACTATGACTCTGTAGTATATTTTAAGTTCTGGTGTTTTGATGCCTCCTGATCCACTTTTCTTGCTAAGGATTATTTTGGCTACTCTGGGCCTCTTATTTTTCCCAAATGAATTTCATGATTGTTTTTCTACTTCTATGAAGAATGTCATTGGGATTTTAATAGGAATTGCATTAAGTCTGTATAACTCTTTTGGTAGCATGGCCATTTTGACGATATTAATTCTGCCTATCCAGGAGCATTGGAAATCTTTCCATATTCTAAGATCTTCTTCAATGTCTTTCTTTAGTGTTCTGTAGTTTGCATTGTAGAGGTCTTTCACCATTTTTGTTAGATTGATTCCCAAGTGTTTTATTTTATTTTTTTGAAGCTATTGTGAATGGAAGAGTCTCCTTAATTTCTCTTTCAGTGGATTCATCAGTGACATATGTATAGGAACACATTTGATATACGGGTATTAATTTTATATCCTGCTACTTTGCTGGATTCATTTATTAGTTCTAGAAGTTTTCTGTGGAATTTTTAGATCCTGTTAATATTGAATCATTTTGTGGGAAGTTCTTCTTTTTGTATTCATATTCTTTTAATTTTTTCTTCTGATTGCTCTGGCTAGAAGTTGAAGGATGATGTTGAATAAAAGTGGTGAAAGGGGGTTTCCCTGTCTTGTTCCAGTTTTTAAAGGGAATACTTTCACTTAGAATGATTTTGGCTTTGGGTTTAGCATACATAGCTATTACAATGTAGAGATGTGTTCCTACTATCCCTTGATTTTCTAGTGTTTGGAACATGAAGGGGTGTTATATTTTGTTAAATGCTTTCTCTGCATTTATTGAGATGTGTTATTCCTACTTTTTGAGTCCTAGGTAGGTGAGCCAAGAGAAATGCTGCCTCACACTAATTCACCATCTTTGAGCCAATAATTTTGTTTTTAACTTCAGAATGTATGACAAAATTTTTAAAAAGTCATAGTAAGGACTATCTAGTTTTTGAATGGTTGTATAAAATAGATATCAGTGTATTAAAATTTTAAAATGTTTTGTTCTTCGGTTAATATGTTTAAAAGGCAAGTAATTCAGTAGTATGGAAAAGCATATAATAAAAACCATCTTCTCCCGTTTACCCTCAGTCCCACATTCTAGTTGTAATTTCTCTGTTATTTCTGATAGTGTTTTATTTTTCCAGTGATAATCTTTAGAACACTTAATAATGCCAATTTTATCACTCTATCTCCTGATATATTAAGTAAAATAATGCCACTGACTACCATGTATGAAAAATGAAATGTGTCTCTATTTGTTGGTTACCATGACTCTCAGCATTTTTCTTGATTAATTTAGAAAATAGTCAATAATATATTCACACTTCCTTTTTCTTCCAGCAGTATTGCTCATTAACTTAAATCTTCTGTATGTAATTTGATGACAGCTGTCCCATGCCATTTTTCTCCATCGTTTAACACCTCCAATAATGTCATCATCTTGTTTTTCATTACCTTCATTATGCAAAAAGTACATAACACAAAATTTACCATCTTCACCATTTTTATGTGTTTAGTCCAGTGACATTGGACATATTCATAGTATTGTGCCACAGTCAGCACTAGGGAGCTCTAAAACATTTTTTTTTTCATTTTGTACAACTGAAAATGTGTACCCACTAACTAATAAATGCTTGCTATGGTTTGAATATCATTTTAGCATGTTCCTCCAAAGACATATGTGCCTGAAACTTGGTTCCCAGTGTGGTGGCATTGAAATGGTAGAACTTTTAAGAGGTGGGGCCTAAGTGTAAAATAATTACACCATTGGGGGCCCACCWTTGTAAGGTATGAATGTTTATATCATGGAGTGAGTTGATTCTGGCAAGTCTTTTGGTTGTTACAAAGCAAGAATATGCCAAGTACTTGGTTTCCTTTCAGTTTCTCTTTCATGTTGTGATATAGCCATGGGGTCCTTGCAAGGATACTTTTTGGACCCTCCAGACATCAGAATCATGAGCCAAATAAACCTCTTTATTTTTAAAAGTACTCAGGCTCAGGTATTCAGTTATAGCAATATAGAAAGGACTAATACGTCCCCCACTTCTTCCTCTTCCTAGCCCCTGGCAACAAACATTCTGCTATCCATTGATCTCTGTGAATTTGACTATTTTAGGTATCTCATAAATGTGGAATCATACAGTTTTGTTTTGTTCTTGTGGATTGCTTATTTTTTCTCACATAATATCTGCAAAGTTCATCTGTAGCATATGTCAGAATTTCCTTCCATTTTTAAGGCTAAATAGTATGCATACACACACACATATTCATATTCGCACACATACATATACATACACACACATTTCACATTTTGCTTATCCATTCCTCAGTTAGTAGGTACTCAGATTGCTTCCATGTTTTAGCTATTGTAAATAATGCTGCCTATGAAATGGGTATACAGATATCTGTTTGAGGCTCTACCTTCTATACTTTGGGGTATACACCCAGAAGTGGGATTGCTACATTGCATGGTGATTCAATTTTAATTTTTTCAGAAACCACCATACTGTTTTTCACAGTGGCTACGTAATTTTACACCCCTACCAACAGTGCACAGTGGCTGTAATTATACCACATCCTTGAACAACAATTGTTATTTTCTGTTCTTAGGGGGGTTTCATGTTTTATAGTAGCCAACTTACTGTGTGAGGTGATGTCTGCATAGAGTCCAGAGGATACAGATTTCTCATCACAGTTTTAGGCACCATCTCTTTCTACCCTACTGCTGGAGGTAAGTCACAGCTGGTTCTCTTTCCTCAGTGAAGTGCTGACATTTTATGAGCCATAAGCTAAAAAATCCAGTCAGCTTTTCCCACTTCATTTTCACACACTCACCATGTTAATTGAAATCTTGTTGACAATTAAGGAATACCAAAAGGCACTGTTAATTTGTTTTCATTTTTATTGAAATAAAAATGTTTAAATACATGTACAAAAGTGCTTCTTAAAGTTGATAAAGGAAGGTTGGGCTGCCTGTGGTTTCCTGCAGAAGAAATAAAGGAGAGAAGGTCAAGAGGCTGCAGCCTTTGTTCCACTTGTTACCATGACTCTTCCATTGTCTCCCATGTGCTTGCTGATACCCTTGATATCCACCTGTGTCCTCTGTACTCTAGTCAGGAAATGGCACTTTGAACTTTGCAAAAGAAGTGAACTTTGCAAAACCTAAGTTATAGTATATCACTTCTCTGTTCAAAAGCACTTGAAGGGTTTTCCTTCTCAATCAGGACAAAAAATAATTAATATTTGCTATGGGATCACCAAAGCCTTTGGCTCAGGCTCATCCCCATTTCTCTGAATCTGTCTCTGCCATTTTTTCCACTCTCATTCTTCTCTGGCTACACTGGTTTCTTGCAGCTCTTTAAACATAGCAAGCACATCTCTGCACCAGGGCATTTTTACTTGCTTTTGTCCTAGGATGGGACACTTTTCCTGGGTAAGAATCACAAGGTTTATTTCCCCTCTCTGTCAATTCATTGTTCTGATTTCATCATTTCAAATAATGCTTTCCTGAATAACCTATCATTAGCAGTACAGCCTCTACCTCTTGGTGTCCCCCTTTGCTTTTTTATTTTCTACTTTACTCTTATCTCTCTGTGACTTATGATAAATTTATGTATTTATGAATTCAGATCCTGATTATACTTATTAGACTATGAGATCTTTGAGGGTAAAGCTTCCATTTACTTTGTTCCATGGTATGTTTCATGCATCTGTAACAGAACCTGATAGTGCTGACAAATATTATTCAAAAAATAATTCAGTTTCCAAATGTGGTCCTATTGGATGAATTAGATAATAAAGCCTGTCCTGAAATATATTTGCAATTTTATGACTAAAGTGTCAGAAAACAGGGATAAAAGATGAATTCAGTACATATTTTGAAATAAATTTTAAAATAATGTGAAATTTAAAGTATGTTTTTCAGAGGGATCAATAATATGATAGGGTGTGATGATATAAAGCTGTTGTGAGTAAATAAAGTAATCATTGGGTCTAAATTAATTTATCCACTTATCTACTCTAAAATATTTTAATCAAAAAATATTTGAGGGTTAACATGAAAGCTTGAAGGAATTACTGAGAAGTAATTGAGGATCTGAGGTATACTGTGAGTGATTTGTCATTTACAGTGTGAGAACAGCACAAGAACCAGAGCACACAGGGTACAAGTCAAGGATATATGTTGTTGTTTTCCAGAAATGAGGATTAGACCCAAGAGTGCTTTACCATTGAGCAACACTCATCCACAGTTTTTTAAAAATTTATTATTTCTATTTTGAGACAGGGTCTTGCTAAATTGCTAGGCTGATATCAAACTTATAGTCCTCCTGCTTTAGCCTCCTGAGTGATTGGAATTACATTTCCAGGCTGTATTTTATGTTGTTTGGTAAAGTAGCTCAATGCCACCAATGTGAAACTTTTGGTCCACTCTGTGGACCAAAGAGCTGTTTCTTCCATATTCAGCCCCCTCCTTTGTTTTCTGTTTATTTTCAGGGTCTGATATAACATTTGGCAACACTGTGTGTGTGTGTGTGTGTGTGTGTGTGTGTGTGTGAATGCATGTATGTATAAGTGTGTGCATGTGCATTTTGTGTATGAGACAGCTCAAGAGAAAGAAAGGGAATTGGGAGGGCTAATGAGAGATAAATGAATATGTAACAATTTAAGCATAAGTACATTTGTATTTTAATAATTGCTATTCAGGATCTTTCATTGTTTATCATTTTTTGCCTTGGTTTTGCCTCCTTGATTGATTGATTGCTGTGTTGGCTGTGGAGGTAAAGGGGATTCAGATGCATACAAGGAGAATAAAAACTAGCAAATTATCACCAACTATGTCAACAAAGAATACTAGGTTGATCATTGAGGCAATCAGGTGCAATTGGTCACTAAACTTCACCACCAATATGACCCTCCTACCTATTTCACTTCCTAATACCAATGCAGGACTTACAATAGCCAGGAAAGAGGTAGAAAGGTTTTGTCAAGGTTACTCTCTCAACAGTGGGCATCTGGGCTCGAACACCTGGTTCATCAAATGAACTTCTTACCTAAAACCAAAAACAGCTCTAGATGAGATAAGCCTTATAAATTCACAGAAAATATTTTGCACCATAAACCAGAAAATTCCAGGAGTGGAAAGGACACTCCTGGGGCTGATGAGACCAAACCCATGGATATTCTACCTTGCTGATACTTCTAACCTTCCTCTCAGAATTGAGAACCCATCTAGGACTGTAATCTTTACTTAAAAAATAACAACTGCCTCATCCAAGCCCTTTCTATTTCCATTTCCTCTCCTTTCTATTTGTGAATTATAAACCTCACCGTTAATTATTCCTGGAGGTCTGTTAATGAGGATTGGATTTAGAAGAGGCTCTGTTTTTAACCCTCACACAGGATGACTCCTCAATTTGAGGAGAATTGATTCACAGGATTGTCTTCAAGACTTGAATACAGAACAGCTTTGACTTCCACTCCTGCAACGAGCTGACCTCTGAAGTCTTGTCCGGGACTGATCAGTGAGATCTTCCTTACCCTAAACACACTATTTTTGGTCTTTTTTCTAGGAGCATCCTGAAAGTACTATGTATAATTTTTATTCATCCAACAGGTCTTAACTTTCTAGGTTCCTATTTGCAGAAACCCTGTCTTGTTACAATAGAATATTCTCCAATATTCTCATAAGTACATCTCTTTTCCCAGGTAAGTATTACTGTCCTCTACAGTATTAAATTTTAAAACAACCACAGTTTCCTGTGTTTTTTAATTAATTTATTTGTTTTTAGTTGTTGTTGGACCTTTATTTTATTTATTTATATGCTGTACTGAGAATCTAACTCAGTGCCTCACACATGCTAGACAACTGCTTTACCAGTAAGCCACAACTCCAGCCTCTCCTATGTTCTTAATACCAGTCCCTCCTCTGTTAAAAAAAAAAATGAGCATTCATTCATTCATTCATTCATTCATCTATTTATTCAATTAATATTAATTGAATATCTGTTTGGTGCATGTTGACATGTTCAGCAAATTCTTGCCTTCATGAAGCTTTCATGTGAGTGAGAAAATACACATTTAAAAAGCCAAAACACGTAAATAAAATATATACTGAGTGGATGGTGTTAGGTACTATAAAGAAAAATAATTTAGGAACAAGGGTGAATAAGGAATGTCCAAAATCAAGGAAGAAGTATTAAGTCTYTCTTTCCTGATCATTCCATTTAAAGAGTGCGTTTATTCTCTTCCACATGTTTAGGTCTTTCTCTTTATGGATATCATTGTAATCTGTAATCACATACTTCTTTCTTGACCTACTTTTCTTAATACCCAGATGTCTGACAGCAATTTAAGTCCTGGGTGGTCTTAAGCTCACAATACGTTTCATTTACCCCAACATCAACAGGAGAGAACCCATTCCCTTGTAGACCACCCAGTATGCATTTATTTAATAAATTAAGCAATGAAAGTTAATGTCAAATACTTTTCTTTCTCTGAATTCTAAGAACTCATAGCTTTCTATCCCATAATATAAACCTTAGACTTTATGTCATTTTGTTGTACTTTGATCTCCCACTGTGGCACACTGGCTCCCTTTTCTAAACCTGATTTTAAATACCTGAATGACAGAAAACAGGTACTTTTTCTTGCTTGATACAGTCCGTCACTGACATGTGAAAGTTGAATAACATTATTGTTCTTTATGAATAAATAAATGGTTGAATTGAAAAGGAAAGAGAAGCTTACCCTCAGAAATATTTCCTCGAGGTGATTGCAGCAGGAATATTTCTGGAAGCATCTGATGAGTTCTTTGATGAAGGGAGAGCCCCCAGTTTTGTATCTCCAGGACATGTTATCTGTGGAGATTTAGGTGTTATGGTGTCATGCCTTGGTCTGAGGGCTTTAACTATTTTCTCTGTTCAATTTATTTTGTGTTTTAGATTTTTTTTTCTTTTTTAAAACATATCTTAGGAATTACCTTTTACAGGTTTAGGGGAAGCCTTTGTCATCCCACATTAACATCACAGGAAATCCATAAACACAGAGAATATTAAAATGAATAGAGAAAAAAAGTTTCTGGAGGGGAGGTATATGTTTATGTCATAGATTGTGGTGGTAAGTTCATATTATCTCTAAATTCATTAAGTTCTATACATTCAATCTGCACAGAGTTTTTGTATGTCAATTTTTCATCAGTGAAAATATTTTAGAAATAAGAATTGAGACTTTGCAATTTAGGGAATGTGAATGTAAGGCTTCTAAAATGTTTATCTGCAGCCAAACTACTAACTGCTGTTACCTATTGTTAGACTGAATGAGTCTCCCCATGACATTATCTACTCTTTTAAAAGAGTATCCACTTTCCTACTGGAGCATGTAACAGCATCATACATGGACAATCAAAATGGAAATATGGAGAAAATGACTTGGAATTGATCACATGAGATGGGGAGAACAGTTCTGGGGCTCATAAAATCTCCACTAAAAATGTTAAATAGATTTAGTAGAAAATGGTATCGGTCATATGTGCTTAAGTGGTGTGTAATTAAGGGGATTCCTTGTATTGGGTTGCTTTAATATTTGGGCATATCTTTGATTGTAAAGTGTAATATGGAAAATAAAAGAACATTTTTTAAAGTGTTGAGGCTAAGAATCTCTGACCCCCAGCACAGATAAGATTTATGTAAAATATATCAAAAGCCTTCAAAATGTCTCTCAGACTATTGCTGCACAGGGCCTATCTTGATTTCCTAAAATCACTGAAAAGTAGCCTTAGGACCATAAATGTCTGTCTGTAACTGAAAGACATACGTGGGGTTGATGAATAGAAAGCAATGAAGTCCTTCTCCACATGGGTCTTGTAAACACCATCTTCATCCAGGTTCATCTGAGAGTATGAAGAGCTGTCTTCCAGGGCTGGAGAGTCTCCAACCCATGTTTCGCCTCTGTTTCCTGTAGAGACATCAACTATCTGCACCCTGTGCCCCCCTCGGTATGACTGTCACAATTGCCCACCGTGTTCTTTTGAATGTTCACCCAATTAGTTACACACACCACTGTCTCCAGAGAGAGAGGAGTGAGAGAGGGCATTATACTAACAAAGAATTAACATATCACAAAAAGAAAACAAACCATTTTTTTAAGAAGAATAAAGAAGGAGTTAAAGCCTTATCTGCATAGTTTCAGAGTATAGCTATCAGTTTTTAGTAAAATTATTTTTGCTTTAAATAAAAAAAAGAGCCAGGCATGGTGGCACATGCTTTTAATTCCAGTGGCTCTGCAGGTGAGGCAGGAGGATCACCAGTTCAAAGCCAGCCTCAGCAAAAGGGAGGTGTTAAGCAACTCAGTGAGACCCTGTCTCTAAATAAAATACAAAATAGTGCTGAGGATATGTCTCAATGGAATAGTGCCCATGACTTCAATCTCCAGTACCCAGAAAATTTAAAAAAAAGCAACAGTTGCTCCCAATAGCCACCAGGAAACTAAAATTTAACTGCTATCCCTCATGTCCCCTAAAAAACCTATTTACTTCATCATCAATATTATATATAAACAGGGTGCTGCTGTTATATAATGGCTCCAATTTCTTTCTTTTTAAAAATTATTTTGCGGGGCTGGGGATGTGGCTCAAGCGGTAGCGAGCTCGCCTGGTATGCGTGCGACCCGGGTTCGATCCTCAGCACCACATACCAACAAAGATGTTGTGTCCGCCGAGAACTAAAAAATAAATATTAAAAATTCTTTCTCTCTCTCTCTCTCCTCTCTCACTCTCTCTTTAAAAAAAAAATAAAAAAAATAAAAATTATTTTGCTATATAATTATTAACATATTAATGGTACAAGTTAATTGATTTCACTGAAACATTTCTACACATGTATATATTATGTCTACTTCCCTTCTATCCTCTTACCATTTCTTGTTATCTGCTCTACACCCAGATCCCTCCTTATTCCCTAATAATCCCTCTTCTTTTTTTAGTTCTGTTTTCTTTTGTTCTCACTTATGAGATAAAACATGTGATACTTCTCTTTTTGTGTCTGATTAATTTGCTTAACATCATGTATCCAAGATGGATTCTTTTCCTGCAAATGGCACAATTTCATTCTTCTTTATAGTTGAATAATATTCCTTTGTATGTGTGGATTTATGTGTTTTATATACATATATGAAAGTGTGTATATATGCATGTTTTATTCATCCATTCATCTATTGATAGGCACCTAGGCTGATTCCATATCTTAACTATTATGAATAATGCTGCAATAAACACAGGAAGCAGCATTCTCTCTTTTGTATGCTGACCTCATTACCTTGAGGAATAAGCAGAGGCTGGTATAGTTAGATCCTACAGTAGTTCTACTTTTAATTTTGGAGAAATCTACATACTGTGAAAAACATCAAATTACCTGGAAAGAACAATTGAGAGGAGGAAAAATTGAATTTGGACTCATAACTTTAGAGGTTCAGTTCACAGTCATTTGACTTCATTACTCTCTGGACTTCATCCTCTCAGGACCAGAACATCATGGGAGAAAGGCATAGCAGAGGAAAACTTTTCAGCTCATGGCAGCCAGAAAGCAGAGAGGGGGAGAGAGGAAGGGACCAGGGAGCGGGTAAACGCTTTCAGGGTGTCCTCCAATGACCTACTTCTTCTAACTAGGTCCTACCTCCCTGTAGTCCATTCAGCTATCAGTGGATGAATCTAGCACATGGACTAATCCTCTAATGAGGTCAGAGCCCTAATCATTGCTTAAAATCCCTATCTCTGAACCTTACTGTATTGGGGCCATGCTTCTAATGCATGAGCTTTGGGGGCCATTCTAGTTCTAAATCATAACAGGCTCTTTTTTCTCTACACCCTTGCCACCATTTATTATCTTTTGCTTTGTTGGTAATAACCATTCCAGTGGAATGAGATGGAACATCAATGTAGTTTTAATTTGCATTTCTGTTATAGAAAAAGATGTCAAACTTTTTTATAGGCTTTTTGTTCATTTGTACTTTTTAGAAAAGTATCTGTTCAGATCATTGGCCCATTAATTGGTTGAATTATTTGCTCTTTGGTTGTTACTTTTTTAAAGTTCATTATATATTCTGGATATATATTCGTCCTTTTTCAAAGGAGTGGTTGGCAAAGATTTTCTCCCATTCTATAGGCTGACTCTTCACTCTGTTGTTTCCTTTGCTATGCAGAAAGCTTTTTAATTTGATGCTATCCATTAGTCAATTCTTGCTTTTGTCAGAAAATTATTGACTCTGACATTATCTTGTAGTATATCTACCATATTTTCCTCTCATAGTTCATGTCTTACATTAAAATCTTCCATTCACTTTGAGCTAATGTTTTGCAGGGTAAAGACAAGCATCTAGTTTCATACTTCTGTGTGTGGATATGAAATTTTCTTGGCTCCATTTGTTGAAGAAACTATCTTTTTTTCCAAAGTATGTTGTTGGCACCCTTGTTGAAAATCAGATGGTAGTAGATGAGTGGATTCATTTCTGGGTCTTTGATTTTATTTCATCCTTCTATATGTCTGTTTTAATGCCAATATCATGCTGTTTTTGTGGCTTTGTAGTATAATTTGAAATCAGGTATTATGATTCTTCCAGCATTGTTTTTATTTAATATTTTGCTTGTTTATTTATTTATTTATTTTTTGCTCAGGATTCCTTTCCCTATCTGGAATATTTTATACTTCATAAGAATTTTAGGATGGTTTGTTTTTAGTTCTGTGAATAATAACATTAGAATTTTTGTTTTATTTTGTTTTTATTGATTTGTTTGTTCAGTACTGGGGACTGAACCCAAGGACACTTTACCACTAAACCATATTCCCAGCCCTTTTTATTTTTATTTTTTATTTTAAGGGTCTGGCTAAGTTGCTTAGGTCCTCACTAAGTTGCTGAGACTGGCCTTGAATTTACAATTCTCGTACTTCAGGATCCTAAGTCACCGAAATTATAGACATTTTGCTACCATGTCCAGCACTAGCAACAGTGTTTTGGTGGAGGTTTCTTTGAATCTATAGATTATTCAGGGTAATATTGCCATTTTAACACATTATTAATCCTCCACATTCTTGAATGTAAGAGGATTTTTCAACCTTCTAGTGTCTTCTTCAGTTACTTTTTTCAGTGTTTTATTATTTTTCATTCTAGAGGCCTTTTACCTCCTTGGCTAGGTTTATGCCTAGATATTTTATTTCTTTTGAGGCCATTTTGAATGCAATTATTTTCCTGATTTCTTTCTCAGCAAGTTCTTATTGTTGTATAGGAGGACCGATTTTTGTATGTTGATTTTTGTATTCTTCTACCTTACTGAATTTGTTTATCAGTATTTGTGAAGTCTTGAAGGTTTTCTACCTGCAAATTGAGAAAATTTGACTTCTTCCTTTCAAACTTCCAACCCTGTTGTTTCTTTCTTTTGCCTAATTTCTCTGGCTATAATTTATAGTACCATATTGAATAACAGTGGTAAGCATGGATATCCTCTTCTTGTTCCTAATCTTAAAGGAAATACTTTCAGATTTTCTCATTTCTGTATGGTGTAGACTATGGGTCTGTCATATAGCATTCATTATGTTGAGATATAATTTTTCTGTATTTAATTTATTCAGTAATTTTTATCAGGAAGGCAGATTGAATTTTATCAAAGGCTTTTACTGCGTCAATTGAGATGATTATGTGATTTCATCCTGGATTTGATTTATGTGCTTTATTATAGTTATTTATTTGGATATTTTGAACCATACTTGCATCTCTGGAATAAATTAACTTGATCATTGTACATGATCTTTTAAATGTGCTGTTCAATTTGCATTATTTTATTGAGGACTTTGCATTTATGCTTATCAGGGATATTTATCTGTAGTTTTATTTGTTGTTGTGTCCTTATCAGGTTTTATTAGCAGGATAATATTGGCTTCATAAAATGAGTTTGAAATGATTTCTTCCCTTTATATTTTATGAAATATTTTGAAAAATCATTGGTGTTAATTCTTTTAAAAATCTGGTAGAACTGAGCAATGAATCCATCTAGTCCTAGGCCTTTCTTTGTTGGAAGTCTTTTTATTATTGCTTGAATCTCACTACTCATAATGATCCATTTAGGTTTTTATACACATTTGATTTTGTTTTATCAAGTCTTATGTGACTAGAAATGGCCCATTTCTTCTAGATTATCTAATTTATTGGCTTATGTTTTTAAAATGTTCTCTGATTATCCTTTATATTTTAGTGATATTTTTTTCTCCTTTTTCATGTTTAGCTTCATTTAGTTCAATCTTGTCTTTTGTGGGGGGCAGAGGTCAGTTTAGCTAAAATTTTGTTTTGTCTTTTCAAAGAAACAATTCATTTTTTTATTGTTGATATTTTGTACTATCTTTGTAGTCTTCATTTTTTTCTCCTCTGATCTTTATCATTTGTTTCCTTCTATTAAATTTGGTTTGATTTCTTGATATTTTAAGCCCTTGAGATGTATGACTGTGTTATTTATTTAAAGTGTTTCTGTTTGTTTCTTGATGTAGGCACTCACTGCCATAAACATCCCCCTTAGTACTGCTTCTGCAATGTCATACAGGTTCTGGAATGTGGTGTGTCCATTTTCACTCGGTTTTTATATTTTTACATTTCCCGTCCCTGATTTCTTCAATAACTTACTCACCATTCATTCAAAACCTCCATGTGCATAATATCTTTAATTTTTCTTACTGTTCATTTCTAGTTTCATTTCTCTGTGATAAGGTGCAAGAAATTATTTTACTTTTTTTTTAATTTGTAAGGACTTGTTTATGACCTAATAAAGATTATATTTTGGAAAAAAGTTCCATGTGCTCCTGAAAAGAATGTGTTCTTCAAATGTTGGATGAAATATTATATAGATGATTGTCAAGTCCATTTGATCTATAATGTTTCCCTGGTTTTTCTTTCTGGTGGGGGTGGTGTGTGTCTGGAAGAGCTATGTATTGGTGAGAGTGGGTCAGTGAAGTCACTCACTATTATTATATTAGAGAATTTCCTTACTTTCAAATGCATTTCATTAAAATGATAATGTCCCAGAGTTTTAATATTTATGCTTAACAGACTTAGGAATTCTGGAATTCTCTTTCATCACTTACAATGAATTAAAATTATATAAAAATGTCTTCACTGAATTAGAGCAAATTATATTCCCTGCTTTTATAATTATGTCAATATGAATCCTAATGTTATGTATAACTAAAAAAAATAACAAAAGGGAAAAAAGCGAACAAAATGTCTTAATTGACAAGAAAAATTCTCATAATACCACTGTAAATGGGATTTTCTAATGATTAAATTTAGTTTATGTGCAGTAGATAAGGTCTATGATTGTTTCTGTAGACATAAAACATCCATCATAGTGTCCTGCACACCTTCAAAATTATTTTCTCTTCCATCTCAGAACTCACCACCTCTGCAGGCCTGCACAATGATGACCTTCGGTTTGTCTTTAAGCGCAACACAGTTGCAGTTGTTGAATATCTGGAAGATGCTGTCATAAGGTAGCACATCTTCATTTTTCTGACTATGCAAAGTTCCACAGATTCCATGAAGGGTGCCATGAGACATAAGCACCAAGAACATGCTGTCTGAGGATTTGTGCTCTGGTAAGTCAGCAAATTTCATCAGCTCCAACTTCATATCCTGTGAAAAGGCCAATTTCATACTTTAATAAGAGATATTCAAGTCAATCTGACTTCCTAGATTCACTACAAGCATTCAAGGAAACACACGTAATTTTTATCATGGTATCTTTACATAGTGGTTACTCAATAGTGATAATTGTTTTATTTTTCTTTCTCAATAGGACAGTAGGTTCAAACTTTCTGATCTTGATGACATATTATAAACTGTCTTCTTAATGTATTATATATTCATRAATGTTACTCACAATATTTCTTCCTTTCTCGCTCTATCTTTTCTCTTAACTAACTGGAGTCTTATGTTTTAAATGCATCATACCACTTTCCTTCTTAACCCCTTCCTATACGCTTAAACTAAAATAGAAAGCTTCTGGCCTGAATGTATTCCACTCTCCTGCTATACTCCTGCCCTTGCTTGTCTTGCTGGTCTCTTTCCCACACTATATTTATTCTCAGCTTAGCCCTTTCAATTTCTAATTAATTATTGGGGTCAGGACCCATGCCAATCATTTTTTTGTCTAGATGCATGTAATTAAGGATATTTGAAGTTGAAAAGAGACATAGAGATCCTGGGAAATAGTAGACTAGAGGGATCCATCTATATGGTAGCTATTCTTAGATTGAATAAGAACAACAGTTCTGGGTCTACACATTGGGAAAGTACTTACAAGGGGCACTTTCATTTCAAATTGATGGTCTGAACTCTGTGATAAGGAGCAAGTCCTAGAGGGATAGAACCGGGACTAATCAGGGTTGGGCAGAAAGGGTGACCTGCAGTGTCCTGCTACCAGCTCTACTACATCTCCTATGCCCACAAGGATCTGAAGAAACTGCTAAAGTAATCTGGAGACCTTTCACACACCTCTTCCCAGGACAGAGACAGAGGTTCTCAGAACAAGGGATGCAGCACAATCTGGATTGTTCCACAGACTCACTGGGCAAGAGGCCTTTCCAGTAGCACCTGCCAGAGTTGCAATCCTATCCCCAATTGGAAGAACATAGTCATACTGAAGTGAATCTGTTCACAACAGTTCACACTCCCTCCAATACTTTTTTCCAGGTAAGGAGGGGGTAAAGTTTAGAATACAGATGTTCTTATCAAGTTTGGCTAGTATGGAAAAGAGCTGAGAACTAACAAATAGTATGAAAAGTGTGTCATACAAACATTCTCATAGCTGGATAATTCTAAACTTGAAACATTGTAAAGAAATTTCTCCTTTTTTTAAAACCTCAGTAAGAAGAAAACATGTTTTTTTATGATTGCAAAGTGATTTCTAGTGTTTTCCCTCATTATTATTTTCTTTTTTAGAGTTGTATCTAATTTACTTATTTTGTCAATAAATTGTATTCTTTCTCAATAGACCTTTTCTTCTTTTCATTTCCATTCCCTTCTCTGCCACTCTTTTTCCGTCCTCATTTTAAATTCTGTCTCACTTACTTTCTCTGCCATTTTTTCTTTCTTGTTTTTGTCCCTTCTTTGAATAAAATTTGATATTAAGTATACTACCATTAATATTTAACCTGTCGGTTTATTTTATATTATGTCTTACCTACTTCTTTCATTGCTTAATAGAGTTGTAGAGATTATTGGTAATTAGTTTTTTTAAACATATGTTGACATATGGTTTGCTATTATGCTATCACTGTTACTGGAAGTTACTCTTTTCTCTCAGAGCACTAGTGGTTGAACTTAGAACCTGGATATTCTCAAGCCAAGATATACCCGCCAACTCAGAGTAGATTGTAAAGAGATAAAAATGTGGCATCTATACACAATGGAGTATTATGCAGCACTAAGAAATGACAAAATCATTGAATTTGCAGGGAAATGGATGCATTAGAGCAGATTATTCTAAGTGAAGCTAGCCAAGCCCTAAAAAACAAATGCCAAATGTCTTCTTTGATGTAAAGAGAGCCACTAAGAACAGAACAGGAAGGAAGAGCATGAGGAAAAGACTAACAGTAAACAAAGACGAATAGGGGGAGAGAAAGGGAGAGAGAAGGGAAAGCATATGGAAATGGTAGGAGACCTTCAATGATACACAAAATTATAAGAGGTT